TTCGAGATCCTCAGCACTGCATAAAAATAATAAATAAATAAATAATAAAATTCTGTGTCCAACTACAACTACAAAAAATAATTTTTTTAAAAAAGTACATATTGCTTTCCTGGAAATTCTGCACACTTACATGCAAAATGGATGTAGAAGGTTCCTAGTAACTGCAATATTTGTTATAGAAAGCTACTAGAAAAATGATCAACACAGAACTGGTGAAATTATATGACTAGACATCTATTCGACAGGCTATTGCAAGTTATTAAAATAAAGGTTATAATGTTTTAAGTTAAATATGCCACACTCCTGAAGATGTCATGTTAAGTAAAACAGAGTTTACTTCTACAGAGGAAAATAAACAGCTGTGACAGAATGTGGTATAGAGTGGAGGGAGGAGGTACAGATCATAGGCTGGGGTACAGCTCAGAGGTGGAATGTGTTCTTAGCTGGAATTAAGCAATTGAAATGTGCTTTTAACTGTGGAATGTGGGGTACAGCTCAGAGGTGGAATGTGTTGCTCAGCACCAGAAAAACGACAGCTCAATATGGTATGGAGAGTCACTATTCCAATTTTCTATACATCTGTTTGGATTTTTTGTTTTTTGTTTTTAGACAGAATACTACCAATTCTATTACCATTCCATAAACTAAGGAACTGAAATTTAAGCAAGATTATAATGATATACTTCATTAAAATAGCATATTAATAAATCATCTTTTTGATAGAGTATTATTCCATTTCTCCATCTATCAAATGTGGAGAGAAGGCAAGATGCGTAAGAGAAATGATAAGCCAAGGGGTGTGGAGTGTGAAGGTGGATGGAGAAGTGAGTGTCCATCACAGATGTGGGCAGAGACCACTCCAAAGTATGCATAGGCCAAAAGGGATATTCAGGGAAAAGAAAGGAGCCTCATCTCACCCACAGGGAGAGGGCCCTAGCAACAGGCAGGAGTCCCATTAGTGCCACATGAAGGAAATCTTACTGTGATGCTAAAGTATTGGAATTTTATATTTAAGCCTTGAAGCAAGTGGCTTAAAAAACATAGATAATTCTAACACATAAACTCTGACCACACTGAGAACAAACCCAGTCAAATGGACAAGTGTTCAATGTGCCAAATTTGGTGACTTTCTCAGAGGCACATTTCCTTATAGAGAAAACATATTCATTATCTCAAATTTCTCTCTTGAGGAAATTAGTAAAATGAACACGCTCCTCACATTTCTGTTACCAGAAAATATATACAAGTTCTAAAGCTGGAAAAAGTGACAGTTCAGTCAGGAAATTTCAAGTTTAAAAAAAAAAAAAAAAAAGACAAAAGAAAATTATAGCCCTCCTGGCTCAAACTGAAACAGTAATTAGAGATAAGATACAGTTTAGGAGCTAAAGAATTTGGTGAATGTGCCTTACACATTATAATTTAAGGTTAGTAAAGAAATTTAAAAGAGAAAATCCACAGTTAAAAGCACATTTCAATTGCTTAAACAATGTTAAAAAGAAATGTTTGGCATGTGTAGTAAGATCAGCTTTCGAATACCATAAAGTCCAAGACTCCTCAATTATGGGCCCATTCACTGATATCCTACCATCAAATACTCCTATGATATTTGATGGTAGGATGCACAAATGAGTTCAAGTCAAAATGCATTTCTTTAACTGGCAGGATCAGAGTTGCTGAAAATAAATAGAAGAGAGAAAAAAAAGATGAGGAAACATTAAATGGGAGACACATGTACCAAAGTGTGGTATTAGCACAGATCAGGACTATCAGATCTGATATGATGCAATCTTTATGAATTGGAGTCTCCCGTCCCACAAACTTATTTATGACCTTTCTTGATGGCATAGCACACAATGTCCTGGCAAGCTAGCCAAGATACAAAACATAGGTACCTAGATGATTTTGACTGGCAGCACAGAATTACTTAAATATCAACTATTAGATCTTACGCTAAAATGACTGTAGAACAATCTTGAATAAACTTATGGGCTAAAATAAATGAGCCAGGAACACATACCAAAATAATAATAATAATAATAATACCATAACAGCTGGACACAGTACAGCATGCCTATAGTTCCAGGACTACCTGAACCCAGGAACTTGAGACCAGCCTGGGCAACATAGCAAGGTCTCATCTGAAAACAAAACAAAAACCAAAAAGGAAAAACCACAAGCCCATGGTAACAAACTGCACTTAAAAAAACAAAAGATATTAGTTGTCAATTCCTTAAATACCCATGAGTACCTCAATTAAACAATCTTGTATTTCTTGTATGTGGAATGAAATATAAAGGCTTTGTCACTTCAGTTTCTATCAGAATCATATTAAAAGCTGTTATTCTCATGAAGACATGATAACATCTACCCTTTAATAAAAGACATGATTTTCTAGTTAATTATCTAATTACATACACTAAATTATAAAACACATAAGAAAGACTGTAAATCCAAATAGACCAAGCCAGGTGTGGTTGGTGCACCCGCAGTCTCAGCTCCTTGGAAGGCTGAGGCAGGAGGATCAACTGAGCTTAGGAGTTCCTGGCCAGCCTGAGCAGCGTACTGAGATCCAGGATAGGTGGATAGATGCATGGAAGGATGGATGGATGGATGGATGGATGGATGGATGGATGGATGGATGGATGGATGGATGGA